TTGATAAATACCTGATAGTCCGTGATAGGAACTCTATGTTTCAAGACAAACCACGACACGTTTTCGCAGCAGGGAGGGGTAGTTAGGGAGCCCATATAGTGGTAGTAGTTTGACAGTACCAATGTTTTGTGCTTCCGAGTTTTGCGTGGTATAAGGCGCATCAGGCGAATTCCGACCGACTTCCTTATTTTTGTAGACTCATCTGTAAAGGCAATTTAATTTTTTGATGTTTGTGAATATTTTCTAACAATAAGAGCAATCACCATTTGGTGAAACCACAATCACGACACCAAAATGGATGGTGATTGAACGGATTCAAAGAAGAACTACCATAAACGAGGTTTGTGGAAATATCTTCATCGACACTCTCATTAAAAAGGTGTCCTTTGCCCTCCTTTAAAGTGTTTCATCATTTGATGTCGAGAAGTTCTCAAATGCAGCTTAAGATGGAAGTGAATCAAAAAATAAAACTCACAGAGCTACTGATGTTCGCTAAAAGTTAACTATTTCATTCTTAAGATCTCCTTAGTAATTCTCCTTACTGTCTTGCATAAAATTCGGCAAATTTGGTATTGGATCAATTAATAATCCCTTGATGTATATTTTTCTTGATTCTCAACACTTGTCTGCTCGGTATTGTAATAATATTGTTATGAGAAATTCTGTCCTGGTCACTCTTGGGAGTTGGGAGGTGAAACACCTTTCGCAAAACGCTTAATATATTAGTTTAGCTCACGTACCAACATCGATAATCTTGTGCATCTGATTTGCCAACCTTCCCAAAATAGTGTTTTCATATTTGGAAGCCTGACAACAACATCATGCAAGACAAAAAACAAAGCGTTACTTTAACATTGGAATTACACGGTTCCAACTAACGGTTTTCAGCGATTCTTGTAAGATACATTATTTTACGAGCATAATCAGATTTATAAAGAAGTCTTCGTTCATATTCGGAAAAAAGGTGCTAAATGTTGAAAGAAAATAAAGGAAGAAATGAAGGCTGATTTAGTCTTTTATCAAGTGGCAAACTTTAGGAAAGTCTTGGGCAAAGTAGATTTTCTTTCATGATCAATAGACACCTAACAGCTCACTGAAATCTGACTGTTCACTTTCCCCTGTTACAATGTGTTTCCCTCTCTTTAGAAATACCACGTGGATACCGAGTTGAGTTTAAGCCCTACACGCGGTTCTTCCTCGTTTTCATTTTCCAAGCTGGCGTTTATTGGATCGAAAAGAATACGAGAAATCACTTATAGTAACTTACACAAACAATAAAACACCAATGGGAACATGAAGTATTATTATCAGTATGTTTACCCTGAGCCATACGGCTACTACTGCAATTCGTCCCTTTGAGTTCACAAATACAAAGTGAATCTGGAAGGAAAGCAGAAGTTGAGGAGTTAATTTCTTTTAATCTATTAATGAGTGTGAGATTGAAGTAAGGATCTGAGATAAGCACTAAGACAAACTGAAATGAAAGAAGAAGTGTCATTTTTGTCTCTCCTTTCTCTTTGAACCCACTCACAAGTCAGAGGACAATTGTTTTTCGTAATCCGATAGAAAGATGCCTCAAAGCCGATAGAGCTTATTGACTCAAAAATAATAATGGTAAAAAAAATCCTGTTTGAAAACAATCAAGAGTTGCATCTAATTACCTCGGCAGCAAAACGGTGGCCATTAAGAGTGTGTTCAGATCCTCGGTTGTTTTTACACCCGAAGTGCACGTGGAACTGATCCAATTTGTAAGTGCCCTTGAGGTGATTCCCTTTTAGTTTCGCTGTTCCTTTGTCCTCGTCTACGAAAAAAGTGGGAGCGTTTCCGTTGTTTTTTAGTTCCCCAGTGACCAGGCCTCCCAGTCTGTCGAATTCTATTTTTAAAGTTCGGAAATGTCTGCGCCTCACCCGAGTCGTGACGATGTTGATCGGAGATTGCCGCCTGCCATCACATTGCTCCCATTTTTTATACCAATCTGACGGACCAGGAGCTAAGATAAAATAAAGAACTTTACAGAGATGCCTTGATTTTTGTCTCCGCTGTTACAAATGATTAATATTTTTTGTGTTGAATACATTAACATAATCAGTAACATAATCACTCTAACCCCCCCCCCCCCTCCCCCAAGAATAAAAACGAGTAGCTGAAAAACCGCCACGGAAAACTGAACAAATTGGGAAGGGGAGGTGGGGGCGGGTAACCCTTGATGAAGTACTATCTCTTCTGATTGGAAGTATGTCATGTTAAATTTCCTGAAATATATTCTTAACTACATGCTCCAAAATTTATGTCAGTCTTGAAAAAGAAGGAATACCTTCCGAAGTAGTTTCTCCGTAGCTGAAAAATTCATCATCTTGCACTGTAACAAATAAGAGGAAAAAAGAACTTAGTTTAGCATTTAACGATTATTATTATTATTATTATTATTATTATTATTATTATTATTATTATTATTATTATTATTATTATTATTATTATTATCATTCCTGATGAGTAAACGTCAATAACAAGGGAAGAGACACGATGTATCTCGTCAAGGAAAAAACGTTTTCAGTAGAGTTCGTCTTAGTTTTTCTTTTTTTTTCTTCTCTCTTTTTTTCTTTCGGTTCTCCAGAGCCACGAACCGAAGTAAAAACAGGGGATGAAACACGTGCGACTCTTAAAGAGATGTAACACACGCTATCGAATGTCAGGGTTTGCACTTCACGTTGATTTACGACAAAAGCTGAAAGTTTGTTTATAAACTGTTTTGGTACTCACGTTCCTCGCATTTTGTGCCCATTGTCACACCAAGGACCGATAACAACAGCAGCAACAGCAACATACCTTCAAAGAAAATTTTGATTTATCATGATTGTTTAAAATGTTTTCGTACGGGTCGACAGATTTAGATAAATAATTAGATTAGACAAAAGGGTTGAAACGTTTTTTTTATCTGCCTGTCTAACAGAACATCAGCAAACTTAATTTTATTTTTTAAAAAAGTGACTCCTTTGTGGAGCAAGTATTTCTGACTGTTTGAACAAATTTCTTAGACTTTAGTTCCCAAGATCCACTCTCTCGAGGTAAATTCAGATTTAGTGATCACCCTTAAATAGAAATACATTTAAAACTTGAGCAAATTACATGTATCTTGCAACAGCTGTGACATGAGATAAAAGGAATATTTCCGTAAAACACATCCATCCACGAACAAAGTTTAGTGAAATAGAAGGAATCGGCTCACTGGATTACGATCAGAGATTAGATCTGTAATCAAGAAACAATTTTTGGCCCGTTGATGCAATGAAAGACTATCACACCTTGTTCTACTTTTCCAGAGTAGCAAAAGCGAAGAAAGGAAATATATAAGTCAAGTCCATAAGTAACTACTAATGCAATATAGGCAACTCTCATAGCCACAATCGTAGTTTAGAAATGACAGCTCTAGTACACTTACTCCCCTTTCACACCAGTAAAACGTGTTTAGTTAATCTGGGTTCAACTAATCGAAAATCAGATACTGAAGGGAGAAAAAATAAATTTCTAAAAAGGATTCAATCAAACTTTAACTTAATTTATCAATGAACTACATTGAATTAAGCAGCTTCTACGAAGAAACAACAACATTTAACCATGTTTAACGAAGAAGCTTTAAGACATGTTTAAGCTTTGGTGTGAATGGGGTATTAGTTTCTGGTTTTCGGTGGATCATTCTAAACCACGCATTAAATCTCCTCAGCATCTGAACACACCCGCATGAAAAATGGAAAGAGCACAGCTGATAACAAAGACAAAATTCTGATCACTTTATAGCAAAATCAAACACGACTTACCGAGGTCGATTTTGGTCTCCACTTAGTAGTTAAGCTTCGTCTTCGTACTAGGAGTAACTCAATGAAGTTTAGGAAATCAGGGATGTTTATATACATAATCGAGAGTATTACAGTGGGCGTTGATTGAGTAGTTTAAATCTAATTTTAGTGGATACTGATAACCGGGAGTATCAAAATAAGCGATGATTTACCTCATAAACGTGATATTTGACAGTTCCATTCTAGTATTTTTGTTCCTTGTTACTAATCATGAATTGGCGACCTTGGTTAAAGAGGTATATAGTAAATTAATGAGATCAATATTGTCTAAACGGAACAATATAGAAATAGTAAAAAGAAGCAAAAATATATTCCGGTGTGATTAAATATATTAAGCTTTACTTTTTACTTCACTTTTGTTTTCTGCGCCTGTTCATCGTCTGTCACACCGCAAACGGCAAAGCTGGGGGTTAAAAAATAAAAGCTATGTAAAAAGGGTGAAATCGAGTCACGGTGATTAACAGAAAATTTAACAGAAAACACAAGTAATATTTGTTTGGAGAGCCAAAGTAGGCCATGCTACGTCATGATAAGGTATCCAGGAATATTCAGTCTGATATTTACTCTAATATTTATTAAATGTGATATGAAATGAACAGCCTTGACAATACAAGGTTTAGAAACTCCAAAGTAAATATCATCGGAAAAAAACAAGGAACTTTTTTTGGGTTACAAAACAACAAAAAACAATGCAAAATGCTGAATTTTAATTGAATCGATATATTTCTAGTTCACTATTGAAAAACTCCACCTTTAATATTTTTCTTTCTCTATCAACGACGGTGAGAGCGAAAAGAAAAGAAAAATTGCACCCGTGCATGTATATCTATTTTCAGACTAAAACAGATATCACGAGATTTTACATTTTAAATTACAATTTTCGCACCTCATTAAAGAATGCGGTCATGCTGGCGACCAATGAAACGCAATATCGAACTCCCTGACGAGTTTCGTGTCACAGAACTCCTTTGGAATTGGCGGTCATTTCGCTAAAAGTAAGAAAGTAGCAAAGCAAGCTAGGGAAATAGAGAAACATTACTTTTATTTCTTTGGCTCTGGCTCTTTAATGTACAGATATCAATAGCACACCTCATGCAAATGAGGGTCAATATCTACTGACAAAGACCTGACATATACTGCCCACACTCAACACTACAGTTGAACCCCGGAAACTCGAATTGCCAAGGGAAATTGAAATTACTTCGTGTAATCAGGGTTTCGAGTTAGAGAGGTTTGAACAAAAAGATCAGAAACAATTGATCGATTCCAGAGTACGTGGCATTATTTCTCTTTGCTGGTAAGAGCTGTCAAAACTGTTTTGTTACGGACATACAAACGTGTGATATCGACAAAGGTCAATTTATCATAACATATAAATAAGATTAAAGGTAATCTTTCGGTGCAAAATGTTAAGGGGTTTCGAGTTATAGGGGTTAAAATTACTGTAAATATATACGGAAAATGTAAGGGAAATCAGTTTTGCTCCGAATTTGCGGGGAATTCGAGTTAACGAGGGTTCGAGTCATCGGGGTTCAACTGTACTTCAATGATTCTTGGAAACAGTGCGCAGTCTCTTTCCGCGTCTAATAAAATGTTTCCTTTGTGACATGTGCATGTACTCCTTCTTCGTGAGAATCGTCAAAGACTGGAACAGTTTGCCAAACCATCTCTTCACTGACGAAATTAGCGTTAACAAATTTAAAAAAGGCTTAAAAAGATGGATGACGATTTATTGACACAGAAGCTCATATTTTAATTGTACATATTTTCATTTTAAACATCATTCTTACTATACCATGTTGTACCCGCACTAATGATTTTTACGCGCGTTTTTTATAATTTTTTGATAGTTTTAAAGTTCAGTTAGGGGACCTCTTATAAGAACAACCTAACGGTCCTCCTTTTTAAATATGTATCATGTTTATAAGCATATATGTAGTTGAATAAAATATTATTATGAACTATTCTTTCGTAAAGGACACTATAAAGTATCTTCTAGCACAAAAAAATATATCCTAGTACAAAAAATTATTATTCCAGAATATCCTCCAGTACTGAAATGTTTCGAGCATACATATAGATGCATCAAATGTAAGGATTTCGTCACATATACTTTCCTACGGCCGCACCCCTGTTTTGCTCCCTCAAAAATTAAACTTCAAAGTAAGTTATGTCTCCTTCTCCTGTTGGAAAAGTATAGAAGTATGAAATTTACATACATGTCGATACTTTGGTCGCTTTCTATGCCCACAGTCGAGCTTTGTTTGCAAGAGAGCTTTCATAAATAGAAACCAGAGCAGGTTGTGTCGGCATAAATTTTGCATGGCCGACTTACTATCTAAGCATAAGTTCTTGGCAAGTAATGGAGAAAACAATACACTTCTATTGAAGCTAAGGCTTTGTTTCAGAGCAGTATGGGGTTCTGAGGAAATCTTTCCGAAAAATTATCCACAAGAAGATATTGTTTAACAACATATCATCCAAGAAATTTATGACAAACATGCATTATGGCCGGATATTTTATATTAAGATCTTTGGAGTGAAAGGGTAAACTGAAGGTAATAGAAAGTTTACCCTAAAAAAAAAACCTGTTATTCTCGGACCAATGGCCTCATATCTTCGAGTTCCGTCATTTTTGATATTTCCACAATCCCTTCTCTTAAGGCTTCATGAGTGTTATGCAATCACTGCATATCACTCACTCTCATTCCTTTTTAAAAACAATATTGTATATCATAACTATTTTCCCCTAGTATAAGTATGCCAGTGTCTTTCAAGGAGACATCTCAAAAGGTACGAGGTGAATTCAGCGTGTTGAAATTCAAAGTTGCCGTGGGCCACTGAACTCGGAAATTAATTATGAAGGGGTGAAACACCGACTTCATATCTAAACTTTTTATCCTCTTACTTCTCCCCGTTCTTTTCATGCGGAACGTCACCTTCTCTCATCAGAAATCGGCATTCGAGACGCACAGCGCATTTTTTCTTTTTCCGCTTTAGAAAAAAGGTAGATTTCAATCTTTTTCGAATACAGTTCATCGATATTGTGTTTTCTGGCGATCGAGTGTTCAAATTCCGGATCGACAATGTTTGAAAACAAGGCTTATAAATAGGAAAGTATATTAATCAGTTGAGCCCCATATATTCAATTGAACATGCGAAAGCCTTTTACGTTAGCAGACTTACCAAATAGTTAGCAGGAGTGGAAACAAGAGTGATTGAATGATGGATGCAAGGAGTGAATTTTGGGTCATAAAAACAACTCGGAAATTTTCCTCATACCATTTTCCCAAATAAATTACTCTAACGTCTGCATGCGTAGGGCTGCTGCGAATGATGAGAATGATCACGGACGGACTCACTGCACGATTACAGGGAGTCTTCATTGCCTTGGGCACCCTAGACTCAAAAATTATATCTTGGATCCACTGGGAATAATTTGCTGATTAAAACGGTAAAGCACTCTCGAAGTAAAACAACCGTTTAACACGCAGCCAATGATGTAACAACAGTATGGCAGCCAATGATGGGCTGGTGTCATATTCCCGTATTAAGAGAGCTATGAGGATCGAAATCATCGACCATTTTTTAAAATTCATCTCCCATTTTAGTAATAAATGATTCTTATCGAGAGCCCATCACTTATCAGTATATTCAGCAATGAAGAAAAACGGGAAATAGCAGACTACAAGACAGCCAGGGATTTACCTACCACGTGCAACGCAAGCGGAAAAAAACGACCTACCGGCTTTGCTCTGCACGAATAAATGAAAATGCTTGCAAGACGTCAACCATTAAAAAAGACGGGACCTTTAATGGTGGAAAAAATACGCACAATCACACTGTAGAGGGTGAATGCAACAGTAAGGACTCAGAAGTTGACTACGCACAGGGTTCAGCGCATGAGGTAAATTGTACTTGAAGTATG